AGAGGTGTATTCAAGTCATTGTATGTATGAATCAATCAATCATATTTTTAATGTATTTTTAATAAATTAAAGGATTCCGATAAAAAGCATCACCTAATTAAAATAAAAATAATACAATTGTATAATTATAAGCAAATACACAAAATATTTTATAAAATAGTGTAACCCAGCACAATTAAAGATTTGTACATCTTTGCTTCAAGTATGCCTGCATCTGAATACTTTTGCAATCAGATCTGATCCTCTGTGGATGAATGCGGGTGCGATTACATAAGCCTGAATCTCCAGCGCTCACATGAAAACTTTACATCACTTTGAATCCCTCGGTGAAATGTTTCTTTAAGAAAGGTTCCTTTTTTTTTCCACTGCTCAAGTAAAAAAACGAGTACATTTAGAGCATGCCAAGGATTATGTCATCTCGCCGTGTGCCAGCACAAGGGCCCCAAGAAACAGAGCAGGAACATATAGCATTGTTTATCTCATAAAAAAAAGCTCATCATCTAGTCTGATGCTTAGTGACAAATTTATCATCCTTAGTAACAATGTAAACAACGGATAATTACCCCCTGATAAAACAAAGAACCACAGATTGTTTTTAACTGTCACTGGCATGAATAGTGAGACTAACATTCCAAGCAGAAGTCGTAGATTTTCAGATCCTGGTCAAGAGAACTTGTGTGGAGTAGCTATTAGCAAATACCCTTGCAAATATTAAACTCAGTGCATTTTACTGATTCTTTGCATAATTAGGTTATTTTGTATGTTTATATTTCTTTATGAAATTAGAGTCAAATCACTTTCATTTCTTTCTTTTCCATGCACAGAATGGCTTTTTTTTAAATATGAAACAATACATTTGGTGAAATTTATTCTTTAAACAAGTGGGAAAAGTCTGACAAAATGCACTTATATTCAATACTGTAAACACATCTTAATATGCTTTAATTTTTCTATGTTTTAATTAGCTTTTCAGGTCAATTTAATTTTAAATATGCAATAAAAATAACCTCTATTTGAATTCTTAATGCACATTCCTGGCTTGTTTGTTTGTCTTTGTACTTAATAAATAAACCAGCTTTAAAAAAGATAGTAAAAACACGCATAACAATTATTTTACACTATATTTACTAAAATAGAAATAAATTCTTTGAAAATGAATCACATGAAAACAATTTCAATTTACATAAAAGTCACGCTTCCAACAGATCGTGGAAAAAAAATTAAAATGGCAAAAAAAAAAAAAAAAAATTCACTCCTCCTGAAGAAAAGATGTCACTTAGGCTATTGGATAAGGTTAACTACTAGGATTTTGTCTCTATCCTGTTATAGAATTGTAATTTTTCACATTTCAATCAAGTCCTGCATTTTTTCTCCTACTGTTTCACACGCAAATATTACATTTCAAAACTTGTCTTCACTTGAATTAAGTGGCTTTGTCAAACCTGTTATTTACAATGGGATGTCCACTTATTTTCAGATATGTATTATATTTTTCAAGACAAAAACACTGATTTAGAAAAGGATATTCTCATTTTCTGTGTCTCACAGGTCCCTTTATTACATTAGTTTATAGCTCTAAGCAAATATTTACATTCAAAGGAAGCTGTATACAGCGTATAACTCCCAAAAACTCATAGGGACTTTTCTCTCAAAAATCTGCACATGCCAAAACAGTGGTGGAACTGAAAGTGGATCCGCACTGAGTTTGACAGAATTCAGCTGGCACATACACAGGCCTTTTCCTCTCTCTGATAAGAGCGTTTGAGCTTCCTTTTCCACAGACACGAGAACTTTCATGTATCAAAACACAGCATGTGGAGGAAAAACAAAATGACTGGGCACAGAGCACATGTGCTGTTTGGTTATGTGAGATAAATAGCACGTTGTTGAGTATATTTCTATGAAAATATATCATAAGAGTAAATGGAGAGTAAAAAATGAATATACACTATACTGTAATTCACTCCTACTCCAACAACAGAGCAACTACATCTGCCCAGCACATCGAACAACTGGATATATGAAACCTATAATCAGTGACTTCATTAATAATAAATATTCTGCTGCTCGGCCCAAGAGCAAAACAGCCACAAACACAAGAGCCTGCTCATCCACATCTGGCCTGAGATAAATGACACCTTAACCACAGAGTATGAAGACAGCACGGCACTCCGCCAGACTGCACTGTGTGTGTGTGTGTGTGTGAGACGATCTGACAGCGGTCCCGTGGGAACAAAAGCACTTTTAGCAGGTTTTTTTTCCACTGGAGACCCCCTGGCCCACCACAAAATCAATTTGGCTTCATCGGCCAAAGAGCACAGACACACACGCATAAACACATGCACACTGATCCACCGTCCAACATACGATCTCCTCACACACTCTCTTCGCTGTCTTTCTCACATACACAGACTTCCACTTTCCTCCGTCTCTCGCTTTCTTCATGTTCTCTAGTTCGACCCTCTCGTTCTCTCTCTCTCTCTTGTGGCTGAGGGTTGGGTATGAGGTTACAGTTGGGGGAGATATTTCCCATTTGGAATAAGTCAACATCTCTGTATAATGAGATTAGGGTTGGATCTCCACACTGGGGTCGTGCTGGTCCGGGCCGGGCCGTGTGGGGGACACATGGCTCCGATCTCCCAGAACAGGTCACCTGATAGCAACGGTTACCATTATCCCAGCCGGATAAGCGCGGATGCCATAGTAATTACAACAAAAAAAGAAATTTAAAAAAGCAAAATCTTGCACTGAAAAAAATATGTGTTGTTATATAGTAAAATAACAAAAAATCTAAAGAGAAGCAAAATTATGTAAATTATTTAGACTTGTTTTCAGAGAATACATGTTTTTTTTTATTTTATTTTTTTTTATTACCAAACAGGGAAATATTTTTTTCTTGTCATTTTGTAAAATTTGGCAAAAAAAAAATTTAAATGCAATTAAAAATAAAACTTAAGGGGGAAAAAACAAAGAAAAATATATAAAGGTCTTACTATATTACACAATACAGTATACATAAAATGATATACATAACAGCCAGAGGACAGATAAGACTGCACATTAAAGTAATATTATGCTCCCCCTGCCTGTTACCATAGCAACAAAACGAAAGGATTAAAAAATACACATGGAGATCAATCTCCAGCGGGACGGAGAGAAGGAGAGAGAGTTAAGTGCTCTTCAAATGCTCTTTCCACCGTCAGAATCATCACTCATGCTTTGACATACAGACACTCTCTCTCACTCTCTTTCTGTCTTTTATCTAGTATTGTTTTCAGTCGCCTCCTTTCTCCAAATGTCTGCGCTCCCCTTTTTCTCAGAGCAAAATAATTAACTCCCTCCTGAGTTCAATTCCAAATCCACAAATACCGGATTATTACATGGTATAATTAGTGGATTTTAATCTAATTACCAAATCTGTCTTCCTGATCCTCTTGCCACCGCTATGAAGCTCAACTAAAACGTGTGAGCAACCACATACTTAAATGGGATCTATGGTAACTGTACAAATCCAGGCAGATGGATGTAACAGTCCTGTTCACACAAAAACACACATTGTCATCATTTACCCATCCTTATGTGGTTCCAAACCTGTAGGATTTTCATATATGGAAGAAAAAAGTACTAGATGTTATTTCCATACATGAGGACGGGCTTCAACAATGATGATTAAAAAAAAAAAAAAATCATTGGCGTGTCATATTTGAATTTTCATAAATGCAAAATAGCCTTTTGGGTGATTTTCAGCAAATAACATTTTAAATTTGAGACTTTTCAAAACACAAAGCAATGTTTGCACTTGACTTCATGCATCTTGATTGAACTCATTGGTTTTGCACACTGTAAATAATGATGATTATTTTAATGTTAAAGGACTGTAAAAATGGTCATTGGTAAATTATATAATTGATGAAAAAGTGTAATAGATCTAATTTGACATTTCATGTAATTTTACAGTAAAATACTGATAAATGCAGTGATCTCATAATTTACAGGGAAAAACTGTAAATTAACATTCCCAGAATACCCGGTGTGACAAGTCACATTGAATGTTTTTTCTTTAAAAATAAACGTTTCTTCTTCTTTCCTTTTTATTTTTATTTTTTTGTTATCACTTATGTGCATGTATGGTTTTATGCTATATTTTAATATATTTTCATATTTAAATCTAAGTTCAGTACATAAAACCTAAAAAGCTCTGGCAACCACAGCTACCATTTTTTTTTTACATAAATGTAACATATTTTTATTAATTAATTACATTTTTTTTTTTTTTTATTAATTAATTTTTATTATTTTTTTTTTTTTTGCAGTTTATAAGTTTTAAAAAAATCAGCCAGAACATTCTGTAAATATATTATTTTGTGCCACAGGAAAGAAATAAAGGTATTGGAATGGCATAAATGTAAGTGAATAATGACAGAATATTCAAAATGGTGCATTATTTTCAACGTTTTGATTTTTTTAGCAGTCAAATCCACTAACAGCTTGTGTGTGGTATAAGTTTAGTACATTCTTGTAGCTACTAGAGAACTATAAATCAGTTTGTCATCGGTACATATTGATGAAATGTATTTTCATATTTCTCCAGCAGTCTGTTTCTTTCTCTTTCTCTCGTTCTCTCTGTCTCTGAGAGCTCTGACTGGCTGCTTTGTTTCTGATGAGATCACCACCATGCTGAACTAGTGCTAACAAGCAGCAGAGGCACAAGTCTATGTTCAGGGCATCGAGATATACATCGGACAAGCTGGCATACATCGCAGTAAAAAAGAGAAAGACGTCAGTGTGTGTCTATGTGTGTGCGTGCATATGCATTTGAGCGACAGAAAGAAAGAGAGGGAAAAATCTTTTTGTGCTTATACATGCATGTGTTGTGAATCTTATCTGGGTGACTAGTTCTGTAACAATAACAGAAGATAAAAATTAACTCAAATCAAAGCTTACAGGGTAGGCAAGAAGGAAAATATGCAAGTGTGTGTTTGTGTGTGTGACTGACTCACCAGCTTTGCCTCTGAGTGCATGGATGGAACATGAGGGGAGGAGCATGAGCTGCTGTGGGTGGGGCCTTGCATGCCCATCATGTTAGAGCCCATAGACATTTGCCTCTCCATCTGTACCCACAAATGTGAATATATTACTTCAGAATCACATCAATGCTTGAAACAACTTGAATAAAAAAATCAACGAGCAAGCTACAGTGTAAATGTGAATGCACATTCCAAACATTTGGCGACAATATTACTGAAAAACTTTAGTAGAATTAGTTAAATCTTACTTCTCTGGCTAGTTAAATGATAAAATTTGGTCTTGAGGCAAAAATATAAAAAAAAATGTATAACCATAACCGTTTTTATTCTAAAAACATTAAACATACTATTTAATATTTATGTATAATATGAATAGTAATTTATTAAAATATTAATAATAATAATATACGTTTTTTTTTTAAAGGTTTAGGGTATTAGCTTTAATTTAGAGACAAATTTGCTGAAAAATGTTATGAAGTTAATTAAGTTCATTAAACGTGTGTGTGTGTGTGTGTGTGTGTGTGTGTGTATCTACGCATATTCCGCAACACTGTGGGAAAAGCAGCAGTC